AAACCTTATTTTAAATAGTTTATGCATGATATTTACTTATTGCTTTATTTTATCTATTTAGGTATAATTTATATACATGGCCAATAATTTGTTATTGCAGAGCATCTTGGATACAAATAAACTAATCAATTAAATTATTTAATTAAGTTATTGAACTTAATTAATTAAATTAAATAATTAAGTTAACTGAGCTTTTTAAGAACTTAATTAAATTATTTAATCAAATTATTAGATTAATTGATAATTACAAAATAGCTTTGTAATTAGGGTTTAAAATTAATCCAAGGCATAAATACCTTGCTATAGCCTGCAAAAAAAATGAGAGATAACGGCTGAAAAACTAAGGGAATGGCACATTAGAAATTCCTTTTGTCTTGCTGCTCTTAATGTGAAGAAAAATAGTTTTTCATTCATTTGATTTCTTTTGTGTGTTCAGCCCTAAAATTTTTGGTGGATTATGAGTTTATGAAACTCATCTTTACTAGCACATTGTCAAGGCATAGCACTCTTAATTTTTAAAGAAGGATTTTCTAATTCGTTAGTGTGGTTCACTATTAGAGGCTGCACAAAGATTCCTTAAATGGCTTTGGTTTGCAACAACCTGGTTGAGCTTTTTGATGGCTAATTTGGTGGTTTAATAAAAAATTCATCAGCCTTTGTTATTTAGGTAAACTTGATATTATCATATACATTTTATTTTTAATTGAATTATGAACTCAATTTAGCATGAAAAAGATCTTAGAAGAGAGAGACGTAATTTAATTTTTTTAAAAATTTATTTTCACTATGTTTTTTTTTGTATTTGATGCATAATCAGCCTTCACTCAACAATAAGTTGGTATTTTATAATACTCCATGGTATGTTTCATTTGGCCTTGTTTGTTAATGTTTGTAAACGTGGCGCAATAGCTTTACACTTGATGCTACTTCTATACCAACTGAAAATTGCTTGAGTTTGGTTTGAAGCATGGTAATTGCTACAAAACCAACATTCGAAGACTTTGATGGTGTAACAATCTAGAAGTGAAGGAAATAAGAAGCATTAATTGGATGGAGAGCACCACCGGTTGGATGGGTAAGTTTAAATTCGGAAGCAGTGTACAAGAAATCAATAGGCAAAGCTATTGTAAGGCGTGATTCACAATTTTGAAAGTTATTGGTAGACTAATTTTGTGGTGAAATTGGGCACGTGTTTAGTGTATAGAGCTGAATTGTGGGGGGTGCTTTACAGACTTAGATTGGCTTGAGATTGAAGGTTTAGGAAGGTGATGGGTCAAGTTGATAACAAGATGGTAGTACAATTGATTTTGGTGGGTAAGTTACTTCCATGTGTGAATATGGATTATATGGCTAACTATGATTATGTTATGTTTGAGAGTCCTCCAATTGGAGCGAGGAGATTGAAAATGTATGACATGTTAGGAGTTTGTCTTCTAAAATTGATTCAAGTATAAGAATAAAAATACTGCCTTTTCTCAAAGAAAAAAAATGTCATATATAATTGCTTTCTATAATATGCTTAACATTTAGAAATATATTAGTAAATATTTATATTCCAAAAACTTGTATTTGAATCTTAAAAGTTGGGTAAGATTTATGAACCTGTTAATACATATATATATATATAAAAAAAGTTCCTTTCCTTTTTTTTTAAATTTTTTTAAAAAAACTCTTTTCCTTGGTTTAAAGAAAATTTTGCACATCTATCTCTTCAACAGTATAATTTTCTTACCTTTGGCAAAGAAATGTTAAATATAAAGAGAAGATTTTCTAACTTTATTTATACGTTGCAAATAAAAGTAGTAATTTCGTGGTTGTGTTGAATCACACTTCAAGTTGAGTTATTTCGAGCTCAAAAAAATTTATGTAATTTTTTTATTCAAATTATTTTTTATTTCAGTCATTTTGATTTTTAAGTAATTTATGTTTAACATTCGAGTAATTAGAATTCAAATTATTTATTTTTCAAATCAAATTGATTTGGATTTGATTGGACTTATTCATATTTGGATTATTTTAGATTAATTATTTGAATTGCTTGGGTCCAAGTTATTCAAGTTCAGGTTGTTTTGAATTTTGGGTAAGTGAATTTAAGTTTATAATCAAATCGGGTTGGGTCTGATTTGAATTCAGAAGGATCATTACAGCACTTTTGAGTTCATATCAAATTTGATAACTCTACTTGAAAATTATAATAATTTAGCAAAATATTGCATTCATAATTTCACTAAGATAAGAGATTTTAGAGAAATTAAGCAACCTCTTTGTTTTTAGATTTTCACTTAAGTTATCAATATATTCACATATTTTTAATCTATAATATATATATATACATATAAAAGTACAAATATGCGTAAAATTTTTAATTAATAAAGAATTTTTTATTTTATTTTTAAATTATCATGTTAACAAATTTTTATTGTGTATAATCTTCAATTATAATAACAAATGACAACTAATAAAATTCATCGTGCACAGGGGCAGAGCCTCATATAGGTTTGGGGGGCAGCCATAATTTTTAATTTTTTTTTATATTATATAAAATTTTGAATATATTCTCTTAATGGTCTCTTCAATAAGTTTTTATTTACTAATTAATACAAATAAAGAATAACAAAAAAATCCCCCATGTTTCACTCAATTTTAAATTTTTTTAATTTATATTATTAATTTTATTTATTTTTTTTATATTATTTGTTCATATATTCTAAGTTTCTATAGATTTACTTTTTAAAATTTTTAGGAACCATCAAGTATATTTTTTTTGTTATGTCATATGTGAGTTCCATATTTTATTTGTAATGCTTGTCTTTTTTTTTTTGTTATGGGATTTTATTTTTTATAATTTTAATTTTTAAAAAGTAATAAATTATTATATAATTCTCAAATATGAATTATAGTGTTGTATTGTTGTTTAAAATTTTATCAATGTATCATTTTTTAATTAATCCTGACTATGTAAGAGGAAATTATTTTGAGTATATCTTTTTTATATGCTTTACGCTTTATATTTAGTTGAAAAGAAATTATCTTGAATATATAGTCTTTAAATAATCTTAATTATATAAAAAATTATTAATTTTGTATATCATATTTAATTATTTATATTTTATGTATTATAGTTTTATATTTAGTATTATAAATTCAAATAAAAATAAAATAAGAACATTAGATGTTGAGTGTATTAATTTTTTTTTCAAGTTTGATTAAATTATGAGTAGGTGAAAAATAATTAGCAATTTTATTTTAAAAAAAAGATGCAGATCATCCAAATGATTTTTCTACACTTGAGCCACCAAGCCTCAATGTTTCAACTCGTAAACAAAAGTAATATGAATCAAAATATCCAATACTCAATCTTAAAAAATCTTAAAAAAATTAAATTTTTTCAATACATAATTTTTAATTGACGAATTTGAATTCAAAAAATATAGTTAAAGCATAACTTTCTTAAAAAAATATTATAAGTTTTTCTTTTCTTAATTTACACATTTATATAAAATTATTTTCTATTAACAATATTTTGATTATTAATTCAATTTAATATATTAGTTTGTAAAATTTTTAACCTTTATTCATCTATCTCTGATCTCTCTAATAAAAGTTGACTAACTCTACCCTTGATGATGTATAGATAAAAATTTTAATTCTATTAAAGATTTTCATTAAATAATAATGTACTTAACTCATGACTTTTGTAATTTATTACTAAAATTTTACGTCGTAACTTATAAATAAAATAAATATAAATATTCACATATAATTCAACACATAAAGTAAAAGTACAAAATTATAAATTATAAATAAGTATGGGCTTCTATTAGGTAGCGTTTGGTATGAGGAAAGTGAGAGCACATTCCCTGCAATGTATCTAATTAAATTACATTGCAGTGCTTGTTTTACAATAGACCACTGTAATGTAAGATTGCAATGCAATCACGTTACAGTCAAGGGATGTAATGTGATTACAGTCCAAAACCAATGCAATCATATTACATTGCACTCTGTAATGTTCTTAAAAATAATTTTACCCTTTAACTTTATTACCTTATTAAAAATATTTTATAATGTTATAATTAAAATAAAAAATATTAAAATAAAATATATAATATAAGAGTCAAAAATTAAAATAAAATAAAATATAAAAAATTAAATTTTATATAATATAGGTAAAACAAATTAAATTAAAATATATAATATAAAAAAATATATTAGAAGAAATGAAAATAAAATATATAAGATTATAATAATAAATGAAAATAAAATATATGATGTTAAAAATGTATTTAAGATATGATATTATATAAAAATTAATAATAAAAAATATAAATATATTAAAAATAAAATATAAAAGATTATAATAATAAATAAAAATAAAATATGATATTAAAAATATATTTAAGAGATGATATTATATAAAAATTAATAATAAAAAATATAAATATATTAAACTTGTATTTTAATAATTAAAAAATAATTTTCAAAATTAACATTACATTCTCAGTAAAGTATTTATAAACTAAATACTGTAATGTTATCTTTCTTACATTTTAATTATTATTTTACTTATATACCAAACACTGTTATTTTTTTTATAATCAAATTACTTATAATCACATTATCTGTAATTATATTATATTATAAAATATCAAATATCATTTTAGTATATTTTGTCATCATAGAATCCTTCGAGTAGGCGCAAGCCTTGCAACTGAGACGTCCACGTGTTTCTTATCTGGAGGTTCAGGCCATCAACCAGAGTCCACATCCAAGCATTCTAAAATCTCATACGCTTCCACTGTTTCACAAGCGGAACTCAAACCAAACCCCCATCCACTTTGTTGACACGACTTTTACTTGGCCTACCTCAACGCGTCACAGCCACCACCGTCCGATCAGTCCACAAGCCACCTGGACCCCAGTTGGACAAGCACGTTTCACACCGTTGATTGACTTTTAAAAGCCAGAGCCCTTGGCGAGTTCCACGCTGTCGCTAAAGACTTGGAAAAAATTGCGACATTGCTTTCCTTTTTTGAAATAAATACTATTGTTTTGGAATTTTCACTTGAGAGTAACTTTAACAGTCAAAATATCTGAAATCTGAACCCGTACTTTGCAATATATCAAACTTACAAAACTTTATGCAGTTTTTTGTGAATTGGAGAGACACCCACAAAAAAAAATGGGAAGTTGTGTCTCGAAGCAAGGAAGCTTTGGGAGATTTGCAAAGAAGGAGGAAAGGAAGATTTTGAGGAGAAGGAGGATCATTAAAAGGAGGGTTTCTTCTCGTAAGCTTGAACATGTGGAGCTTTGTGGTGCTTCTAAGGACTTTTCTCGTGCTAGTTCTGCAATCCAAGGTTAACCCTTTTTTATTGCAGAAAGAAAATCTTTGGCTTTGTATTATTCAAGCCTGTTAGTCTTTTGATTACTAGGTTGGAGTGACTTAGAAATATTTTTTGGATTGAATGCATGAAGTTATAGTTTTGGAATTATGGGCTTAATGAAGAGGGGTTTGGAGATAAGTGATTAGAAATTATAGTCCCTTGATGCATTTGTATTAGCAATGCTAAAGGAGAATAGTTTTCATAGTCAGACAAGAATTATTCTTTTCTCTGAGTTTTGATCATTCATGAATTTTCGGTTGTTTTTACTGGATTTTGGTTTTTTTGTGTGGATCATTAATTGTTTATGGCTCTACTTCTACTCTGGAGTTCAAATAATCTAAAAGCTGGTTTGTATGCTTGCTACATGTGTATTAGATTAACTTTAAAATTCTATATTAAACTTCACCGCCAGGTCATAAGATAAGCGTGTCCTTATCCTTTTCTTTGTGTTTGAGTGTTGTTGAATTAACTTGTATTTTTTACTAGGTTTTAAGTTTATGTAAAATTTTATCTTGACTTTTGGTTTGGTTGCTGGTGACAGGAAGTGCGGACTTGGCATGGTGGGATTGTTTTTCGGTGTTTGAGTCCGAAGTGGATGATGATTTTTATAGTCTAAATGATGGTATGTGTTTAAGCATATGGTTAGTTGAATCTAATTTTTTGAGAGAATTAAGCTTGATAAGGATTTGAATTCTTAATGACATTTCATGTTGCATGCAGATGTGGTCTCTATGACTGGCTCTGAAATTGTATCTGTATTAAGTGTATCTTCTCCCAGAGATTTGAATCTAACAAGCAACACTGAAAATGTTACTTCAGTTCTTTCCTCTGGCCAACAACAGAAGTCAAGGGAAAACAATACTAATTCTCAATTGAAGGCGAATGATAATCCCACTGAGGGGAGTCATGTATATGTGGATGATATTTCTAGTGAAAGTACTCGTGGGGATGAAAAGCAAGCAGTGCATCATGTTGGACTTGCTGCACATACTTGCTTGCCTTGTATTCCTTCAACTGCCCTGTCACTAGAGAAAAAAAGATCATTTAGCCCAGGTACACTTAGTTCAAGGAGGAAAGCACATCTGAAACTTTCCTTTAAGTGGAGGGATGGACATGCCAATCCAACAGTAGGTGGGTGTTACCAACTTTTTCCTTCTCATCCTTAACTATCTTCTATATTTGTCCATTTTTTTATATGGCTATATGCCTGGATAATAATTTCAATTGCTGTTGTTACATCAACCTTCAAGCTTTTTAGATGTTCTACGTGGTATCTTTTCTTTCTCTTTTCCCTAAAAGGAGAAAGAAATTTGTGAGGTTTTTATAGAAATATCTGTTGCCTTTCTCAGAGCACAAAAGTCTTTACACTTACTGGAGATCTCTGTATTTGTTGATGGTCTGCTATTAATGAGAACTTAAGAATTATTCTTTTCTGAAACTACGTAAGGGCAATTTTATTGAATGTGCATTTGTAGAGTAATTTGTAGCATATAGCATAATGATGACACTTACTAGATCAGTTGTGTTTACTAAATACTCTGATGCCTCTTATGCTTTGTATTTATTGATGACACATTTATCATATGGCTGATGTGTACATGTGCATGGTCTTATTTTGTCTCAGTTTCTCCCAAGGTGCCTTTGCAAAGACCAATAGCTGGTACCTCAGTTCCATACTGTCCAAAAGAGAAGGACATGCCTGATTGTTGGTCTCCTATTGAGCCAAGTTCCTTCAAGGTCCGCGGCCACAATTACTTTAGGTGAGAGCATATTTTCTTCATAGGTTTAAATTTTCTTCTTAAATGCACATTCATGCAACTTGGATTATCTGCTTTACTAACGATTTTGTAGTTATAGACTCCGATCACTTATTGAATTTTTTGTTGTTATTTGGCTAACTGAATTCAGTGCTGTCTTCTGTATGCTCTTTTGACAGGGACAAAAAGAAGGAATTTGCTTCAAACTCTGCAGCATTTTATCCCTTTGGAGTTGATCTCTTCTTATCTCCGCGCAAAATTGATCACATTGCTCGTTTTGTGGAACTTCCTGTTTTTAATTTATCTGAAGAAATTCCTTCTATTCTTGTTGTAAATATTCAGGTACTTGTACTTTTTCATTTTTACCTTCTTTTCCACCAGAATTTACTCCATATGGTTGTCTGCATGTTTTCCTGACTAAAAACTGGAAAGAGACATTAATGCAAAACTTTTCATCCCAAGGTTAACTTGAAGTATGTCCATTACAGAAGTATGCTTAAAGTGTTGATAGGCCCAAATCTCTTTGTCCACATGGATTGGGACAGAAATTTCTTCATTTTCAGACATCCTCTCATTTATATTGACATTTTTCTTTACCTGCAGATACCATTGTACCCTGTTACGATCTTTCAAAGTGAAAATGATGGAGAAGGAATGAATTTGGTGTTGTACTTTAAACTATCTGAAAATTACTTGAAAGAGCTCCCACTTCAGTTTCGAGAAAATATTATAGTAAGACAAATGCATCTCTAGCTTTCTGCTTCTGTGGTAGACATTTAATTTTTGGGAGTCCCTTGTTTGATACATTGCTTTGTCATTATTTATCTTAATGCATACTTGTTTTGTTTACATCATGTTGGAAATTAGTAGTAGCATCTAATTCATTAATTTTTCTTTTTCTTTTTTTTTTAAAAATTAACAGAGGTTAATTAATGATGAGGTAGAGAGAGTTAAAGGCTTCCCGGTAGATACTATTGCACCTTTTAGGGAAAGATTGAAAATGATGGGCCGAGTGGCAAATCTGCAAGATCTTCATTTAAGCACAGCTGAGAAGAAGCTTATGAATGCTTATAATGAAAAACCTGTTCTGTCACGTCCTCAGCATGAGTTTTACTTGGTAATTCTTTTTCTATAGACGTTTCTATTTGATAAATACCTATTCTTTTAATAAACTTGTCGTATTAATTTACAGAATACGTAAGAATTCCTGCCAACACTAGGATTCTTTCTCAATTTGTGTTGCTGGATTTGTGAACTTCAATATTCTTAAGAATTGAGATTACACACATGATAAGTACTAGGGATTAAGGTAAGGTTGTACATATGATTCTTATGGTTTGAAATTCTTGCAGGGAGAAAACTACTTTGAGATCGATCTGGATATGCATAGATTTAGCTACATCTCTAGAAAAGGTTTGGAAGCATTCCAGGACAGATATAAGCTGTGTATGCTGGATTTTGGCTTGACAATTCAGGCAATTCTCTTAACTGTACAAGCCTGCTTTCTATATTTTAAGATTTTAATCTGACATGCACTTGATATTATATATGTTGAAATGTTTAAACAGGGAAATAAAGCTGAAGACTTGCCAGAGAGCATACTATGCTGCATATGCTTGAATCGAATCAACTATAGTAATTACCATCAACTGGGGCTATAAGCGAAGACCCTCTTTTACTATTGCCAATCAATCAAAAGTTGATCAAGAATACAATCAAGTTCTTACCTTTTCGATTTTTTTCCCCTTCTAAACCTTCATTCCTTGTTCTGGTTTTAGGGTGGTGCATATAAAACTTGTAACTTCCAATTGTGATGTGAGTGCATTTTTTTTTTTATTTTTCTTTTGTATAGAAATATGCATATGTACAGTTGTCACCAAGGTGACGAAAGGAAATAAAAGAAGAGTCACGAAATATCTATACTATATGTTATATATTAAAAGTGACTTCAAATTGACCAATATCCTTTGCTTAGTTCTGGTCCTGTTGATGTGTTGAGTTAGGGGAAAATTCATTTCCATGATGTATGAATATTTAGCTATGCCTTTGAAAAAATAAAAAAAAAGAGTTCAAATTGGATTCCGATTCTATGCAGGGTTTTTCCTTCTTTTTGGGTTTTCAACGGGTGGCTTCTTGGTGATTGTAGAATTTTTGAGTCTTGTTTTGTCTTTTAGCCAGTAAATCTTTCCTTTGCCTTTAGAGCGGTTTTAAGTTTTTAATATATTTACATATTATTTTGATCTTTTTCATTGATTTTTTTATTTTGTCTTTTTTCTTTTCATTTAATTTTTGCTCTTTGATTTGATGAGGTGTTGTTCTTCTTGATTTTATTATTTCTTTGTATTTTGTTTAGCAATTTTTTTTCTTGTTTTTTGTGCGGTTTGGAGCTGTTTTTGACTTCTATGATTTTGATTGCTTGTCAAGTTAGTTTGGTTTGTTATTTGTTTTGATTTGATTTGATTGTTTACTTGGTGTTTCAAATTTGATTTGTTTTGTTTTTTATTTTTTGTATGCTTGATTTTTGTTGTTGCTTTCGTTGTCCTCCTCCCTGAGTTCTTTGATCGTGTTGTCATTTTAATTATTATTTAGGTTGTTTTTTTTTTTATATTTTTGGAACTTAGGTTTGTTTGGAATGGGTTTTGGAGGGTTTTTTTTTTTTTAATATTGTGTCAATTCATTGTTTATGGTTTTTTTTTTTATCTTTTTCAGTGATATTTAATTTGATTTTGTGATTTGGTTTTATTTTTTCTTTAATTTTCTAATTTTAGGAATATTTTAACCTTTTATGTTCTTGATAGATTTTTTTTCTTTTGTTGGTATAAATCGGTTTGATCTTTTAAAGATATATCTAAACTATGACTTTCAAGCAGTTAAAATACAAGTAAATAGTTTTTCTTTATACAACACAATGCTTACATGTAATTGCCAATTATTCAAATACTCACTGTTTTTTTAATATTGCATACTTTACTTCTATTTTTTTTCTCATAATTGTTAACATTCTATATAATTTAGCATGCACATTAAATATTACACTTTTTCTGACCATCAATATATACTTTAATATTCATAATTTAGTTATTTGTGCTGTTTTGATATCATCAATAACATAATTAAAGTTAACAATTTGTTCTACTGTATTCCTTTAATAACATGAAACAAATAACTAAACTTCTATTTAAAATAATAATAAACTTTCATATAATATTTCGAACATGCTCACAAAATAACAATTTTCCAACGCTATATATATATATATATATATATAAGTTTTAATTTCTAAACCCAGTATAATTTAGGTCATTAGATGGGGCTCTTTGGACCCTTTGACAGCATCATGGAGCAAAGGATTTTATCCATCATTCAATCTGGGACAAGATTGCTGGTCATCTGTTGAATTTGCTGTTGCCCTCAATCAAACATTTCTAAGCATGACCGTTTGAGAGCAAAATGTTCAGATCAATCCAGTATTAAGGACTGCTGGTTTGATGTGCCTGTTTTTTGGCATACTGAGAAGCCACGCCCACCCCAATGCAGACCTTGGTGGGTTATTCATGCAGAACCAACTGTATCCTGCATCTTTTCCGATCCTTTGCTTATTTGTTCTGAGTTCTGAATGTTTCTGGAATTTGTTTATTTTCATTTGCATATGGAATATAACTTCCTTGAATCTCTTGATAATAGCCTAATACATTTCCATAAAATATAAGCATGTATGAATAGGAGACTAATGATGGTAGGAGATATCTTCTCCTGAAAACACTTCATCTTTAAATGAAATTTACAATCAATAACATTCATCTTACATTCTTTCTTATAGACAAGCAGATCCGTTTTCAGGCTGACCAAAATGGACTAGAGAAATCATGTGCAAAGAGAGCATCAATTCAATTTGATCATAAAGAAAAATAATTTGTGGGTAGTTTTCTGATTAAAACTTAAAATACTTACCCTTCTAGGACACGAATGCGAAAATTCAACACCAGGCATACTACTTTCTAAAACATGCGTAGGAAAGCATTGTTTTTGTTACTCTCTTGCGGTTTCTTTCGCTTCAAATCAAATTGAACTCAAGTATGTGCAATGTATTTATACAGAAGAGGATAAAGAAATGGATGTAAAGGAAAGATCCTGTGCCTATGCCGTTGGTCCCATGCAGCGTCCGAAAAGAAGAGAGATGCCACACCTTTGAACCTTGGATGGAGAATCATTGTTTTCTGGTCTAGGAGGTACTTGAAAGTTGGTTGGTTGTGGGTGAAGAATCTCTTCATGTGGAGGAGAAAAAGTTTCCTCAGGGCTCCTAATGCTTGGAAGGTTTCCCTCATACCTTCTCTCCCCAGCAGCTGCATTAGGCAAACCAGTTTTTGGGTCGATTATGTGGCGATCATTCCATATACGGCCGGATGAGCCTTGTCGTCGGAACGAGACAGATGATCTTTGCAATGTTGTCATTGATCAGAATTCTCTCTCTCTTCTTAATTTTTCCTTGTTTGCTCTACTCTCTTGGCTAGTTTTATCTTTTTGGATTGTTTCCTATTAACTAACCTAACGGTTTTCTGTTCGAGGGTTTATTTTCTGCTTTCCTATAATTTATGGCTGGACTTTTATTAAAGTTGCCAAAATTGGTTAGGATCACTGTAGTTAGGCTCGAATCAACAGTTTTAGTTTATAGCTTCAGGCCAAAGAAAAGACAAAAAAAAAAAAGAAAAGGAAAAACAGTTCATACTTCATAGTTTTAATGCCTCAATAGATAGGTTCTCCTGGAATGTTTAAGTGATGGGAAACTCTGATGAAACCTCAAACTCGCACATACGTAGCGATCAGAATTTTCTAGCCTTTGGGAAGGACTGATTCAATATAAATATGATGGTTATGATATTGCTAAAAATAGGTGCTAATTAAAAGATTTATGATTGGTTGAAGCAAGTCATATGTAGAACGACATTCTTGTTAATTGCCTCTAACCAGAATTATATTTTCTCCCTTCACTTTATCAGAATCTCTTCGGTCACCAATCCATTTCATCCAGATTTTAGTATGAGTTCTTGATTAACCTCATATACGCATTAATTTTTTTTGAAAGGCTGAGATTTTATTCCTATAAAAATCTCCAAATGGAGACTTACAGGAAGCAAAGTCGCAAGTGACTTGCTTCAAAACAAAACGTATTCCTAGCAAGGAGGGTTGGCAGAACATAGAAAAGACCTTGATGAGCGTTCAGACATCATTCATACCAGAAAAGATAACAAAGAAATCAAAGCCAATATAGGCTTGCCCCAACTAATCTGGGACACTAAGACAGTAAAAATGGATCACCATAATTAGTGTGGCCAAAATCAGAATAAAGATGGCAGGTTTAGTGAAGGTTAGCATTGTGGTTAACAAAGTATATATAGTGGTTGGCTTCTCTCACCACCCTAGCTTTTGCAAGTTCGTCAACTAACATGTTGGCTTGGCGCCTGATGTGGCAGAAAGAGATGCTTGTGATGTTGCGTAAGTGGGCTTCGATTGCATTTGAAATGAATTTCATGCACCATGGAACTTTGTTGTGATCACTCACCCAGCTTATGGCATTGGTGGAATCGCTTTCCACTTGCAATTGATGAGTTGTGGCCCACGGGGAATGGAGGAAGAAGTTAATACCTTGTTGAATGGCTTTGAACTCTGCGAAGTTGGACTCTTTAGCACCTATGTGATGAGAGAAAGTCCCCCTAATAAATCCTAGGTGGTCTTTGAGTACTCTCCCTATGGCAGCTGGGCCAAGCTTCCCTCTAGTTGCTCTGTCAGTGTTGAGTTTGAGGGTTCTAATCGGAGGAGACAGCCAGTTGAGGTTTTTCCTTTGGGAGACCTTCTTCTTGTTGCCACAAAGGATAGTAGGATTAGAGAGACACATAATTGCTGGGATGTGCCCCATTTGCCATCTCCCTTTGCACCATAGGGAATATCGAAGAAGGATAATATCAACCATTTACGTTGCTTCGAAGTTCTCCCCTTTAAAAATAATTTCATTGCGACATAGCCACAAAGACCACATAGTAGCAAAGAATAACATTCTCCATGCATTCTTCATATGAAAGGGCATAGGATAAAAGAACCAAGCCTTAAAGAATGAAAGAGCATCACCAGGGGAAACCTAACAAATACCCCATTTGTGGCAGCGGAGAAGCCATGTTTTCCGTCTTACTGCACAGTCAAATAAGAAGTGAAACTGAGTTTCAAGTTGAGTAGAGCAGAAGGTATAGTTGGCATCATTTGGATTAATGTTTCCTCTTTGCATAAGAATAGCTTTGGTAGCCAGTTTTCCATGAAGAGCTTGCCAGCAGAATGTTTCAACCTTCGGAGGAGCCAAGCCGGTCCATAAGTTGCTCCAAGGGCTATCATATGTCAAGTGGTCTCCATAAAAGGCCTTATAGAAAGAGGAAGATGAGTAAAGACCACTGGTTGTCTTCCTTTAAATTACCTTATTTTGATCAGAAAAATGCAGTTGAATATTTTCAATGAGGGACTTAAAATTTTCCCATTGTTTCAGCTCCCAATTAAAAGGTTGCTTCCTAAGTTTAACATCCCATGTCCATTTTTTGTTGATCCATTTACCCGTGTTAGCTATAGAGGCCTTTTTATCCTTAGCTAAAGCAAAAATTCGAGGGAATTGAATGGAGAGAGAGGAGTTGCCAACCCATGTGTCTGTCCAAAAAGAAATAGTGCATCCATTCCCCAGTGAGTGTCCAAAGCTTGTAGTGACAAGATCATGATATTTGCTAGTAGAATTGAGAGGCTTTGTGATGTGCCGCCATAGAAGAAAAGGTTGGTATGCCTTTGCCAGGGGAATCCTAACAGCTAGGTTGAGTCTATTTTTTGTTGAGATTACTTGGTGCCATAGACTTTTAGGCTTATTGGCATAACGCCATAGCCACCTGTTTAGAAGGGCTCGATTTTTCAGTTCGAGGTTCATAATTCCAAGCCCACCTTGACATTTAAGCTTGTAGACTAAGTCCTAGTTGATATAGTGAATTTTCCTCTTATATGAATTTTCAGACCATAGGAAGTTTCTTTGAATATTTTTCAACTGCTTTTTGATTGAAAAGGGCATTTGGAGAATAAAAAGATAATACAGTGAGAGATTAGAAAGGACAAAATTAATGAGTGTGATTCTACTTCCCATGGAAAGATGTTAACCCTTCCAACTTGCAAGCCTTGAGTTGGATTTTTCAACAATGGGCAACCAAGTATTCTGTACTCGTGGGTTGGCTCTAAGAGGAAGTCCAAGATATTTAGTAGGCAAAGACTCAACTATGCAATTTATCATGTTGGCTCCGACATTAAGAAAGTCAGGTTCAATTCCAATACCCAAAAGGCTACTCTTGGAGAAATTTATTTTGAGTCCCAAAATTGCTTGGAAAATTTTAAGGATCCTTGCAATATTCAAGAGCTGATCAGGTTGGGGTCTACAGAAGAGGAGAGTATTGTTTGCGAATTGTAGGTGAGATATAACCATGTTAGAGCTACCAAGACCATTTCCCTCAAAGATTTTCAGTTTGTTTGCTTTTTTGAGGATGATACTAAGTGTTTCAACCACCATATTGAAGAGAAAGGGTGAAAGAGGACACCCTTATCGTAGACCCCTTTGAGTTTTGAACTGGGGGCGTGGGGTTCCATTAAGAAGAACAAAAATGGAAGTTGTTGAAATGCTTTGACAAATCCATCTTCTCCATTTAAAACCAAACCCCATAAGTTGCATAATATAATCAACATAATCTCAGTCTACACTATCGAAGGCTTTTTTGAAATCAACTTTAAATAAGAGACCACTTTTATATCTTTTTTTGAGGGAATCAAGAAGCTTATTGGCAATTAGAGTGCAATCAAGTATTTGTCTTCCCTTAACAAAAACAAACTGATTTTCACCCATAACTGAGCTGATGACTGTCTTCAGCCTATTAGCTAGAACTTTAACGAGAATTTTATAGGCACTACCTATAAGGCAGATAGGCCTGAAATGATTAATAGATGAAGCCCCACTAATTTTTGGAACCAATGTGATGAAAGAAGCATTAATGTTCTTGTTGAACCTCCTAGTGTTGTAAAAGTCCCTCATGAAAGAAAGAATATCATCCTTAAAAATGGACCATTGCTTTTTAAAGATCTCCATATTGAGTCTGTCGGGGCTCGGAGCTTTGTTACCATCACACTGTTGAATGGTTAATCTTATTTCCTCCTTAATGAAGGGGGCCTCAAGTTTGGCATTTTGATCCTTATTGATTTGTTTGAAGTGGTAATTAAATTCCTTGAGCTTTAAAGTGGTTTTCTTTCGGAAGAAATTACTGAAGTGGGAAACCACCTCATTTTTATTTTTGTAGGGTCTTGAATGGTGGAGCCATTGACTTGAAGTTGGTGGATGCTGTTGTGCCTTTTTCTATTGGAGGCTGTAAGATGAAAAAACCTGATGTTTCGATCTCCAAGTTTGGTCCATTGGAGTCTAGATTTTTGGAGCCAAGAACGTTCTTTTCGCAAGCATAAGTTCCAAAGATCAATTTTAAGGGAATGATAATTTTCTTTCTCAAAAGGAGAAAGTTCTCTAAACTCGGCTTCTTTCTCCAAGTCGTCAATTTCTTTTTCCAAGAGAAGGATCTTTCTTCCATCCTCTATATGATATTGCTGTTGCCATGTCTTAACAGAATTTTTGAGCTTTTCAATTTTATTGAAAAAGCTAGAGGCATTGTCAGCTTTGTAAGGTTCCATGAGTGCTGAAGGTGAGCAATGAAGTCCTCGTTTTCAAGCTAATGGGAGAATAAGTGGAAGGGCTTAGGCCCCCAGTTCAAGTGATCAACAACCAAAGAAATTCAGAATTCAGAATTCAAAATTCAGAATTTAGAGTAATCATCGGGCTTTGCTGCGATTATACCATATTATTTGACATGGGGATGTTCGATTTTTCTTAAGTTTGCCATTGCTCATAATGTTGACGTTGAGACTTGTAGTGGAGACCACGATAGTCCTCATGCACGTGCCTGATCTTTGTCATTTCGTTTCTTATCAGTTTCTTGCCTTAATATTTTCATTGTGCAAGGAAAGGATGTCTACCTGCACTCAGCTTGTGTAATACAAAAGATAAAATGATGTTTAGATTGTATTTTGGGTTTCATATATTGATTGCAACAAAGTTTGAAGTGTTAATGAATCAATAGCCTTTTTAGTAACGCCTTGTATTTTAGTACGATAGTTAATATGACCTTAAGGATAAGCGAAAGGTCAATTGAGACTAATTGAAGCATTTGGGAGTGGTGTAAGGAGAGAAAAATAGTTTAGAATAAAATAATATTTATGTAATTAAATAATACTCAAATAATGATAAAAGAATATTATCTTATTGGAGGTCAAATTAGTGGGGTCAAAAGCTGATATGGAAGTAGATGGAGGTAAAGTTGAATGTTTCGGAACCTTAAAAGGCAAGTGAAAATTTTTAAAATAAAATAATATTAAAATATTACTATTATATCTTCGATTGAAATTA